GCATCTTGGGAGGGCTGCTGGACACTGGAGCTTCCCTCCTCACAGCACGGCGATGTGCACAAGGGACCCAGTGGAAGAAGTGGCCACTGAGTGGTCACCACCCCTAAGACTGGGCTGCTGTGACTGTATCTACTCATCCTGTTCTCCCTGCTACAAAGGATTCCAGGAGGCCTATGCGAAGCAAACATCGTTGGAACAAGCCTCTTGAGTCAGAGGGGCAGCTGGCCTCAAGGACCCAAGTTGGCCAGTGCCTGAGGTGCCAGCGCCAGGCAGGAGGAGCTTTTGTGCTCTGAAAGGGCGTGGTGGGTCCCTGTGGTGGCTATGGATCTGTGGCCACTCCTGACCGTCACCCTCAGGAGGGGTTTGTGTGTGGGCAGCTCTGAGGGGCAATGCCACCCCAGGGCCCTGAGATCCCACAGCTCTGGGAGGGCTGGCCTGATGACTCCACTCAACTCGTTTCATGAGTTTTATTTACTAGTGACTGCTGTCCTCAGTGCCAGAGGCAGAGATGAGAGGCAGAAACTGCAAAAGACAGAGAGACAGAGGTTAAAAGAGATAGAGTGATAGAAACAGGCAGAGAGAGACAGACGGACAAAGAGTGAAAGAGGCAGAGACAGACACAGAGAGATAGAGACAGAGATGGGCAGAGACAGATACAGGGAAGAGCCAGACAGACAGGGAGAGACTGAGAGACAAAGGTATGGAGACATGGAGGAACAGAGACAGGGAACCGAGAAACAGACAGAGAGACACAGATAGATGCAGGCAAAGGGGGAAGGAAGAAGGGGCTAGGGTGAGGCCGGGCCTGTGGAGGGAGTGTGCCAGTCACAGGCTAATGTGGAGGCAGGGCAACTCCAGGAGTGGCACCCATCCCTCCTATCACGAGGCCCTTCCCATCTGAGCTTTTGGGTACCCTGGGCCATGTCCCTGCCCTGCCCGACTGGCCCCTCTCAGTCCCCGAAACACCCATGCTGCAGCCACCTGCCCACACGCCGCACATGTCTGCCTGACCCATCATTCCAGCCGAGCTCCTTCCCTCCTGCACCCCTTCCTGGCTCCTGCCCCCTAAGCTGCCTCTTCACCTGACCCGTCTTCCAGTCAAGCTGTCTCCCCACCACAGTGAGGCCCATCAGGACTGAGGACACGGGGCGAGGTGCCTGGCGGTGGTGTGGTGCAGACACTGGCTGAGTAGGGCCTCCAGGGGTGCCAGCCCTCCAGCCCATGAAGGGCTGGGATGAGGGGCTGAGCTCTTGTGCCCAGGAGGTTGTTTGCGCCCATGAGTGTGTAGGAGAGTGGGGGGCCTGAAAGTGTCTACATGTTTTGTCGAGGGCTGTGTGAGGTGCCCTATAAAAATGGAGGTCACGATGTGTTTCTGTCATAGTGACAAGCTCGAGGTCCAGAGGGATGTGAGGGGGACTCTGGAGGGAGCATGAGTGAGGCTGTGGAGCAGGTCAGGGAAAGGGAAAAGGCTGAACACGACCCACACTGCACTTCCCTGGGACAACCGGGGTGGCCATCTATAGGCAGCCAGGCCTCTGTGCTCAGGAGCCCACAGTCCAGCAGGAGCTGGTGATGGCCGGGCAGAAGGAACGGCCTGAGAGGGACAGCAGGGCTGGGTGAGGGGCGGAGTTTGCTGTGCTCTGACAGGCAGCAGGGGTGGCTATCACCAGGCCTGGTAGCAACTCCAGGTGGCTGGGAGGGTGTGAGTCCCAGGGGAGGGCCAGGACTGAGAACGGAAGCAGGAGGTGGCCGTGGCGGGAGTGCCACAGCCCAGTCTGGTAAAGGCAGCCGAGGGACTTAAAAGATGAACAAAATCCAATTGCGAGCCCCAAAGTGGGCTTGGACCCTGGGGAGGTGGTGGCGGGAGGCACAGGCCTACCTCTAGGGTCCTGGTGGGATCCCTGGGGAGATGACAAGATGCCATTAACCCAGACATGGGAAGAAGAAGGGAGAGGTGCTCAGAGTGCCCTGGAGTGCGGGCGTGCCCGGGGATTGTTCTCAGATGGGGCCTCGGTCTCCTTGCAGCGCAACTGCCCTGTCCTCTGTCCACGTGGGCTCTTCCATGAATTCTTGTTCCTGAGAACTCAGCTTAGAAGGGGTGTGCAGGGAGGTGGGGGTCACTAGGTTCCTGCCATCTGTGGCCTCATGGGACGCAGGTGGTCAGGTGCATAGGCCTTGGTTTGGTCTCCTGCCTGGCTCCTGTCTGTCACTGGATGAGCTCAGAATGGATGCCCCTGGACATCTGTGCAGCTCTGAGCCATTCAGTGTTAGACCAGGCCCGTCTCTGCATTTCAGACCCGCTCGGCCTTGGGACTGCTGGCATCTGCTATGTGGGTGTAAGACACCTCTGGGCCACCCAGCCCTGGGGAGGCAGGTGACCCTTCACACTCTCACAGTGCTGCTGGCCACACATGGACACCTTTGCCTCTTCCTCTGCCAACTTCAAAAGCCTAATTACCCTGATTTGGGCTGTTTCCTGGTTTGTTTCTCCAGGTGAGGAGATTCCCCTTCACTTTCACTTTCATGTGCTAGTGATGGTGGAGGGGGGAGAAGCAAGGGGCCAGCGGCTTCATGTTAGGGAGGGGCTGGGGGCGCAGGTGAGGAGTTACAGAGAGGCCACCCACCCCAGCCTGCTCTGCTCCACTGGGGCTCACCAGGAGCCCACCTGGCAGGGGCCAAGGTCCCTTCCTCCCCTGGTGATGCTTAATCTGGGGAGGATGCTGGGAGACAGGAGAAAGGAGGAGACGCTCTACTGGGTAGAAGACTCGGAGAAAGAGAGAGAATCTTCCCTGGCTATTAAACTGCAGGACACAAGTGGCAGGGGTCCAGCAGCAGGGGTCCTGCAGCGCTGTGTCCTTCTGTGAGTCTTCCTCCCTATGCTGCCCGTGTGCTGCTCACGCCTGGGGGAAGGCATGTGCTTGCTCCAGCAGGAGCAGCCTGCCTGGGGGCAGAGAGGGGATCAAGAAGGGGGCAGACTTGTCCCCAGGAAGCCAGCCTCCCCCAAGCGGAGGCTGCTTCTCAGGAAGCAGAGAATCCCCAAGTGTGAGAACCCTACTGAGAACAAAGTGGGGGTGGGGATGGGGGAGGGGTCCTCACCACCCACCCACATCAGTGTCAGGTGGGGGTTCTATGTCCCCCTTCCCTGTGTGGCCAAAGGACTGTCCTGCACTCTTGATGGGAGGGTGGGGAGGGTACAGGGACTTCACTTCTCTGCTCCTCCTGGCTCCCCTGCAGAATACCTGACTGTCCTGGAGGGTGTCTCAGGGTCCATTCAGAGTAGAACACAGGGGGCCCAGGTGAAAGGGAGGTATACATGCGTATGAGGTGGATGGGGACCGAGGCTAGGAACCCTCAGGGCCGACAGGACAAAGATCCTAGGGCGCAGGGTTGCCAGGAGGCTGACGACATTTATGGGAAGGGCGCGGGGGCCAAGGCGCTTCCTTTTGCGCTCAGGAACGCGGCGGGTTCTAATTAGAAGCCTGCCTGGTGCGTAAGCTGGCCGCCCTCAGGGCTCTCTCCGACAAACGCGCTGCCCCTGACTCCCTGCGGCCGTCTGGACGCGCGTCAGTATCCCAGCGCCCCAAGGCGCGCCCTGAGCCTGGCCCTCAGGTGGGCCACTGGGCGCCGCAGGTGCCGCACAGGAAATAGGGCACGCGGAAGTGGGGGTGCGCGGGGGTCCCCGAAGCGCGTCCCCGCGGCCTCGCGGCCTCTTCCAGGCCCGTCAGCTGCCTAGGGCTGCCCTTTCCCCGCCCTGCTGCTCCTGGCCCGGCGCCTCTACCGCGGGAGCCCCCGCTCCTGAACCATCTCGAAGAGAAAAATTATTATCGGATTAGATGTACCTCGGCTCGCTGGGTCTCCCCCCTTCCCCTCGGCGTAATTATTATAATTCCAGGCTGCCGTCGGAGAATGATGGGGAGGGGAGTGTGCATGCTTGTGGGGAGGCTTCTCTCCAACTGCGGGTCCTACCAGCGCTGCGCCTGGCCCTGAGCGCCCACATTCCTGCCACTTGTGTTCCTCAATCTTGGGCATCTCAGAGTGCCCTTAATTCGGAACTGGGGTGACCCTTGCTTGGTGAGGGCTCTGAGGGATCACAAGCCCTGGCGAAAATGTGGTCCCCGTTCCCCCTCCCACAGGATATGTGCGGTGGAGGTGGGAGGCTTGAGAGAGACCTTTGGGGACCCTTCCTTTGGTTTATCTGCACTTCCATCGCCAGCCTGGGGAGGGTCTCACGGAACGCGCCTTTTCTGGCATGGAGGGCGCAGCTAAGAGCTTTCTGATTGAGGGTTCTGGAGCCCCTCACACCCCGTGCTTAACTCACCCTTACCTCTCTCTACAGCAGCCCCTCCTCGCTATGCGGACCCAGGCGAAGGGCTCGCAGAGAGGACCCCTGGAAAACCCCGCGCCCAGACTGTGGCGGGGAGGCGCGCGGGGCCCGGGGCCAGCCCCCAGTGCTCCCCGCCGCCGGCTCTGCGCCACTCCCCGCCGGGTCCCAGCTTTCTTTACGTAACCACGCTGCTCCGAGCTGTTCAGTCTTGTCTCACCGACTTTGTTTTAAAACGTGTGTGTGTGTGTGTTTGTGTGTAAGATACGGTTTTTGAGGAAAGTCTCCGGCGAATTCCCTCTCGCTTGCCCTCTTCCCTCGCCTGTCCCCTGGCCTCGAGCTGCCTGTCCCCTCGGTGACCGTGCGTGCCGACCTTCTTTCAGCCTCTCCCCAGCCCACTGTTCGCCCTGTCCGACGCCAGGGGCAGCTAGGACCTCCACAACCTCCCCTACTCCCCCGCTCGGGAACCAATGTCTCCGGAAGCTCCGCCACCCACGCGTCCCAGCGGCCTGAACAGGTCCAAAGTGGCCGTCCAGGAAAACCAACCGCCCGCGGCCCGCACGCTGGGCTGGAGCAGAAGGGCGCGGGCTCCGGCCACCGTGGGGTCCCTGCCCGAGGGGGCCGTCTGCTGCGGGCCTGGCGCACAGGGGCAGGGGCGAACGCGAGGAGGCTCACTCACCACCAGATCGGGTAGCTGCCCAGAGCCTGCTTCAGGCTGCAGAGGAGTAAGAAGTATCCGAGCGGGGCCATCGCCGCGCGAGAGGGCGCGGAGGGCCGGGAGTCCGCCCCGAGAGCTTGAGCGCCGGGGCGGGCCGGGCCCTGGGAGCTGGCGCGGCGGCGTCGCTGGGCCCTCCTGCGACCGCGGGTGCGCGGGTGTGCGCGGGCTCCGAGGGCGGCGCTGCGCCAGGTGGGCCGGCGGCCGGGCTGCGGGCCGAGGCCCGGGGCGGCGCGGGGCGGCGGGGGCGGGGCAGCGCCACGGGCTCCTCCCAGACCGCGGGTGCGTGGGGTGCGCGGGCTCCGAGGCGGCGCTGCGCCAGGTGGGCTGGCGGTTGGCCGTGGCTGAGGCCTGGCGGCGCGGGGCGGCGGGCGTGCAGCGCGTGGCCTGCCAGGGCTGCGGGCTCGGGCGGGGCAGGGTGGTGGGTGGCGGGGCCCTGGGAGCTCCGAGCGGCGGCGGCGGCTTTGGCCTCCTGTTGCTGTGGTGCTGCCGTGGGTGCCGGTGTGTCTGAGGACGTCCTGGTGTGCGGGCGCCCAGGTGTGTGCGGGGCGCTGGGGTGCGCCAGATGGGCAGGCGGCTGGCCTGGGGCTGCGCGATCCGCAAGTGCCCTCCTGGAGCTCCTGGGCCGCGCCCCTCAGGTCTCCCAGGCCGAGTCCTGGGTTTCCAGCCCCGCGCGCCCTGAGCTCACGGTGGGACCCGCAGTCCCCCTCTCGCTCCCGGTCTATGGCGAGCTCCGTCTCTTGCCCTCGAGGTGTCTGAGCTAGGTCTCCCCTTCATCCAACAACCTGCTTGGGACGGGGGTTTGAGGCGGGAGTGACGGTTGTCTGGTGCACGTCCTTTGGCCCTGTCTGCCTGCGGCCGGACTCCTTCCTCTGAGACCAGGACTGCCCGCGCATTCGGCGGATAGAAAGGGTCCGGGATGGGTGCAGCCTGCAATGGGGACAGCGGCCAGGTGGACCTCCAAGGTGCAGCCACGCGCCTGTGGGTCACAGTGGGGGACGAGTGGGACTCTCTGTGGCGCAGGGATTGACCCCTCCATTTTTCTCCCCATCACTCCACCAGGGAAGAGAACAGTGGAAACCCCTGACGCGATGGGACGATGGGACGGTGGGGAAGCGCAGTGCTGCCCCCAGGTTCTGGGACCACCAACCTCCAGGTCTGCCCAGAGCTATGCAGCCTGTTCAGCCAGAGGGATTTCTGACTATTTAGTTAAACTGTAGGAGTTTGCTGATGGACAGGGGAAGACCAGAGAGGGAAAGTGACTTGCCCAAGGTCACCCAGTGACCAGTCAACTCTCCAACTCCCAGTCATTTGCATATTCATGTGGAGCCCCAGGAGCCGCCTGGGGAGGTTGCAATTTGCTGAGGGGAAGTGTCTCCAGCCTCCCCCGCGGGACCTGATAACTGGGATGGTCGGGAGGCTGAGGCAGGAGAATGGCGTAAACCCGGGAGGCGGAGCTTGCAGTGAGCTGAGATCTGGCCACTGCACTCCAGTTTGGGCGACAGAGCGAGACTCCGTCTCAAAAAAAAAAAAAAAAAAAAAAAAAAGAGGCACTCTCCCACCGGGGCTGGTCCTCCTGCAGTCACACTGTGACCTAAGCTCAGCAGGAATCTTGGTTGCCACTTTGGAATTGAGGAAGGAGGCTCTGGGAGCTTCTGAGAGCTCCAAGCAACTCCAGATTCATCCGTGGTGTGTTCTCTGGGGATCCTGCACTGCCCAGCCTGTGGGCCAGGCCTCCTGTGCCGCTGCAGAGTTGCGGGAGGGAGGTGCATGGAGAGGCAGGGATGGGCATGTGGCCGCTTCTGTGCAGCTTCTCAGGGAGGGGATGGCTGAGGTGTCCCCAGGTGTGTCGCTGGCTGGCTGATGGAGGCAGCTGCTTCCCACAGTGTTCCCCACTCACAACTTGGTTCTGCATTTGCAGAGGGAGCCTGTGGTCCTGTGGACACCAGCCCTAGGGGTCACCTCGTGACTATGTCAGGAGACCTGAATTCAGAGTGACAGCCATTCTCTTTAAAGAAAAGTTCCCTTTGCTCCTCACTACCTTGGGAATCCAGTTCCCTCTAGGCATGCCCGGCTGCCCACCCCCTTCTCCGAGGCACTGAGGGGGCCCCCACCCTCAGAGGGAAGGAGGGAAGAACTCTGGAATGAAGCCGCTGTGGGGGCAGGGAGGGAGAGGGGAGGGAGCGTGTTTGTGCTCCTCTGGACTTTGCCTTGCAGCAAAAATCCCACCCAATTATGGTACTGGGGGAAACCTGGGCTGCAGGTGGGGTGGGCGACTGAGCCCAGCCTGAGGCACGCAGACTCTTGTTACTCCCACCTCCCCAGCAATGAGGCTCAGGGATTAGAGCCTTGGTGATGGGGAGCCCCCCAGAGGATGCCAGCTCTGCACACACAAAGTAGGGCAGCCTTGCCCGCCGACAGGATGGGCCTCATGACCTCACTGAAGGGGGCAGGTGAGCGCAGACTGCTCAGTCCTGCTCTCCTGCCCCTTGGTTTCCCAAGCGCCTCCTCCTGGTTGCTTTCTTCTCCCCCATCAGGCCCCATCCTCTGCCAGTGCCACCTGGGTAGTGGACACACAGAGCCGGCGGCTCCCCAGGCTGCGGAAGATGAAGGGAGGAGCAGACCCCGAGGCCCCAGGCAGGAGCTCAGCCTGCCCAGACCCAGCTCTCAAGCGAGGGCTCCTGTTTCTGAAGACTCTGGATACCAGGGAGCCAGGGTAGGCTGCGTGGAGGAGTGGGTGGAGACTTCTGGAACTAGCTCCTGGGCACCTGCCTGTACCATGCGGGGTTCCTCCTTCCCTCTGTGAGCCTCCTGAGAGCCTCGGCTCCAGAGCAGCCAAGTCAGTGGGGCTGGGCTGGGGTGGGGTGGAGAGCAGAGTGGGGGAGCAAGGGTGGGACCCCAGCTGGGTGTCAGGGGCCTGAGGGGCTGCCACTGAGTGTCTTCTAGGCTCGGATGATGTTGCCTATAGCACCTCTTCTCCCTTGCTTGAGGTGCAGCGGAAGGTGAGGGGCCTCCCTGGAAGCGCCCTCTGCTGTCGCCTAAAGGGAGCTATCCCTGACCAGCCTGTCAAGGTCTACGTCCCCACCTGGTCATTGCGCTGGGGACTGGGATGGGGTAGGTCGAGGTCAAGGCATAGGGCAGGCTCCTGGGGGCATGCCGGGTGGGTGCTGAAAGGTAACTGAGACCCGACTTTGTCTCCACAGACCTCCTTGTTGGCCAGGACACAGACCTACATTCCAACAGGTAGAATGGGGAGGTGGGTGAGACCTTTACAAGCCAGCATCAGGAAAGTGCTCATGGTCCTCGGAGAGAGCACGTGTGAGAAGGCCTGACAACTGGGCGGCTCTGGAGCTAAGCCATGAGCAGCCAGTCATGTGTTTAATGAAACAAAACTTCTCATGTATGGATGGTGCTGGAGGGAACATCATTTCTGGCCTGCTGGAGGGCCCAGGGAGCGTGCTCCCTCATTCCAGAATAGGCCCCCAGGCGAGAGGAGGCGCTGCCCACCCCAGAAGCTTTGTAAGACCCCTGCTTGGGTGGAGTAAGCCAGGTGGGAGGGACATCTCTCATGGGCAGTTTGCTTTGTGAGGTAGTGAGTTCCCTGTCTACAGCAGGTGTGAGTCCCTGTTATGGGTGGGGCAAGCCAGGATTTCAGACACTAACTGGTCATCTTTTGCTTCCTTCTTTTTCCTCCTTTGAGCAAAAATAAGTTGGGGGAAAACAGGGAAGGGGTTTGGGCAGACAGAGAGTTCAAGGCTCTGGGGGCTTTCTGGCTGAAGGACCCTGGAAGGAACAGCAGCAGGACAGGGTCAGAAGACAGAGTGCCCCTCCACGCTTAGTTCCATTGGAACTTGCTCCCTTCTAGAAGCTTCCCTGACCCTCCTTGTGGGGGTCACTCTTTGGATGCCTTCTCCACGGGCAGTGGGTTCTTGAGGTCAAAACTTTCAATTGGCCAGGTATGGTGGTTCACACTTGTAATCCCAGCACTTTGGGAGGCCGAGATGGGAGGATCACCTGGGCTGAGGAGTTCAAGGCTGCAGTGAGCTATGATTGCATCACTGCACTCTAACCTGGGTGACAGAGTGAGACCCTGACTCAAATAAAATGAAATGAAATGAAATGAAACTTATAGTCATTTTTTCCCCAGCTCCTCAGGCTAAAATAAATACCTAAGGGCTTTGTTTATTAAGTAATTAGGTCCAACAACTTAATGATTAGTAGCTATTGGGAAAAAAACTCATATCAGTTAAAAATAAATTAATCATATTTTTATTTCATCCTCACTTAACTGCAGTTACTGGCCCTCCGGAAGCAACACCCTTACTTGTTGTTCAAGGTCCTGGCTCCCAGGCCATACAAGGTGATGTTCATGCAGGACAGGTGACCCTTGAACAACACAGGTTTGCACTGCTTGGGTGACTTACACATGGATTTCTCCTGCCTCTGCCACCCTGACACAGGAAGACCAAGCCCTGCTTCTGTCTTCCTCCTCAGCCACTCAATATGAAGACCACTAGGATGAAGACCTTTATGAGGACCCACTGTCGCCTCGTGAACTGTGAGTCTGGCTTCTTTTCTAGGTTTTCTGAGCAGGAGTTTCCTTTCTCCAGCTGAGTTTATTGTAGGATCACAGTGGATAACACACATGGCATGCAGCGTATGTCCTGACTGACTGTGCATGGGATTAACAAGGCTTCTGGTCAACAGGAGGCTGTTAGTAGTTTCATTTTCAGGGAGTCAAAAGTTATACTCAAGTTTTCGACTTTGCAGGGGGTTGGTGCCCTTAACCCCCATGTTGTCCAAGACTCAATTGTACTTTCTTTAAAACAAAATTTTTTTGTAGGGACGAGGGTCTCACCATGTTGCCCATGCTGGTCTTGAACTCCTGGGCTCAACTGATCCTCCCACTTTGGCCTCTCGAAGAGCTAGGATTACAGGTGTGAAATTCTGCAACACCCTGGGAATTTGCTGTGGCATCCCAGGGTGCCTTAGCACACAGTTTGGGAACTGCAGCTGGAAAGGGAGCAGCCAGGGTTGGGC